TGTACCCTAACAAGCCAATGAAGTCCTGACCTAACAGTCTAAACAAAGATCGTTTATATATGTGTTTTAATCTACTCTCATCCCTATTTAATTTTTACCCTCATTATAAAATACTCCTTCAGTCCCAAAATATTTATTCAAGTTTCTATTTTTTTGATGTCCCAAAATGTTTATTCACTTGATTTAAAGAGATATTTACTTTTCCTTTATACCCCCTCATTATAAATGTTTTTAAATTCTAGGAATAACTTTTGTTTTGTTTTAAAGGAGGACAATTTTGAAAATGTATAGATATTTTGTATGATGTGGCACTATAATTAATGAAATTCTTAAACTTTATGCAAAAATCAATAGGACAAATATTTTGGGATGGAAGGAATACTGAATTTCTCACAAAAGTAATTGAGAAATGTTGCAACCAAATACAGAAAATCGACATGCTTATTAAAGATTATTAAATTTCTTACAAGGTAATAGATAAATATTATAATCAAATATAGAAAAATCAACATGTACTTGACAACTCTGAAGAAAATGATCAACTATAACAATTAATTGTTCATATATTACCACAAGTAACATGTTATTTGTCTTTATGTAGTAATCTATCAAATAGTGACACTCTTCATTCCGCAAAGTGTAAAGCAAGTGCAAACCTAAGACTTTGTTTATTTTCTGACAATAAATAATTTTTATATATCTATCTATAACATATGTATAAATGAAAATTAGTAAGGAATATTAAGATTGCCAAAGATGCTCTTGTTGAGTTTATCGATTAACAAAAATATTATTAGGGATTTTAATTTGACTGGTTGGAAAAATAAAAGTAACTTAATTTTGATTGGTTATATTAATTTCCTATCTAAATCTAATTCTATTAGATAAAATAAGAAATTATATTATATATATCTATCTATAACATATGGTATAAATGAAAATTAGTAAGGAGATATTTAAGATTGCCCAAAGATTGCTCTTGTTTGAGTTTATCGGATTAACAAAAATATTATTAGGGATTTTAATTTGACTGGTTGCGAAAAATAAAAAGTAAAATAAAAGTAACTTAATTTTGATTGGTTATATTAATTTCCTATCTAAATCTAATTCTATTAGATAAAATAAGAAATTATATTATATATTATACAAGGAATATATTAAAGATGGTAAGATATAAATATTTTAAGAATTTATTGAGTGAAAAATAAATGTAATTTAATTTTGATTGGTTATATTATACTGTGTAAGGTACATATTAAATGTGGTTTGAATATAATATATTTAATTATTATTTTAAGAAAAATTCAATTTGATTCGTTATAATTATTTTCTATAAGTAATTTATTCTACAAAAGATAAATATAATTTTTTATTTTTTATTAAGAATCATATTAAATTTATTAGTTGATATAAAATAGAAAATAAAGTTCATTAGAAATATATAGATATAACACATTATATTTGCAAACCATATAATATGTTGAAGAATTTTTTATCTCAAAAAAGCAATCATAAAATTAGTTATATACATATAGACTTTAGAAAAAAGAAAAAAAAAGGATAAAAATAATAAAATTATAAATGATGTTCTAAAATAATAATGAGTATATTAATTATTATAATAGCTAATATTGATTTTTTGGATCTTAGTAATATAGGTAGTTTATGGTATTGTATTATATATGAAAAATTTAAGTTAATTAAATTTAAATTGATTATAAGTAATTTTATTTTTATAAAAATCTGATTGTGAAGTTATAATAATATTTTATTATTATAATTTTGTTATTTTCTTAATAAATTATTTAATTATTCAATTTTTTATTTTATTAATTTAATTATTTCAATTTTTTATTTTATATTTAATAAATATATATTTTTTTGATTTTATAAATAATATTAGATTTTTGTAATTTTAAATTGTTGGACAATATTATAATTTTTATAATAAAAATTGATATATGTAACTTAAATTACATTTTTACTTGCAATGTAAGAAACCAATAATATAAAATAATTGTACGATTGCACGTTCATAAAAAATTAGTATTTTTTAAAATTATATTTTATACATTTTTTTTATTTTATAAATAATATTAGATTTTTGTAATATAAATTGTTGACAATATTATAATTTATAATAAAAATTGATATATGTAACTTAAATTACATTTACTTGCAATGTAAGAAACCAATGAATATAAATAATGTACGATGCACGTTCATAAAAATTAGTATTTTTTAAAATTATATTTATATACATTGATTTTTAATGTTGCTTTAACTCTGTAACATCCAATTTACCTTAAGGAGTACGATGAAATGACATAGATTTTTTTTCCCTTAATTAGATGTTTTGAATTCGAACTCTAAAGTCAATTTAAATATTCGATAGGAAGTATTTTGCTCAATTCATGATCATTATCGGACATAAATCCATATTAATCGATCCAATAGACTTGAATACTGAATGGTTAAAAGAAGAAAAATCTATAATACCAAGATCAATTAAAATATTTGTTTTTTCATAAATAAAAAAACTTATTCAATTTAGCCATGTTCTAATAAAAGAATAAAAACGCTTAAACTATATTAATTTGGTGATACCAATTTTATATTTAAAGTTGAAACATATTGTTTTGTTTAGTTTAAATTAATTAATTTGGCATAAAAATAAAAGAGTTGATCGGATTATAGAATAAAAATATATAAATGGGTAAAAATAATAATAATTGAGCGTGCTGTGCATTATTCTGAAAATGTCAACTGTCAATCTCATCTCTGTCAAGCTCAATTAATTAATTTTCAAGATGAAAGGAAAAGAGATATCACGAAAATAATGCGGTCAAAAAACTATTTATTTATCTATTAAAAAATTAAATAACTTTTTAGAACATTATTCTTTTATTTTTTTAGTACATTATTTTGATCATAATTCTAAACAATGAACACATTTTAATTAAAATATAAACACAAACGTTTATTTTGAAAATTAATATTGCATTGTACACAGAGACAAAGCTTAACGGTGAGTGAATATATAATTTAATAATAGATCTAAGTTTGAATCTCTATGTGTATTAAAAAAATTAATACTGCATTTTTTGTTTATATATTATTATTATGAAAATAAAAACCGTTCAAATGTTGAATGGACTTATTTTGAATTTTTAAGATGAATATTCGATCAAATCATGAGACATGAGGTGATTTATATATCACATTAATGACATGAACTAGCAAAACAGATCCGCAAAAGTTAAAAAGAAGAACACTGAAGAAGAAAGGCAGGTGGCACCAAATCAGACCACTAAAAGAACTGCCAATAAAAAAAAAAAAAAGGAAAGAAAGAAACAGACCTAAAGGTCCCTTTTAATAAAACCATGACCTAACCCGCCGTTATTAGCGGCGCTCTCGGTTTTTATTTAGGTGGCCACCAACACCAAGCCAACCCAAGCCAAGCCATGGTCCCTCTCAAAACTCCTAAACCAAACCCTTCGCTGGTTGGTTTTGTCGAGTTTTGACCTTTCTCTATCTCTACCACCCACGTTTTTTCACGGCAGGTGGTTTTCGCATTGCTAACTGTTTCTCTTTTAGGACTCTTATTTCCAGTTTTAACCTTCCGTTAATTTCTATGCTTGAGCCCAAAGTCATGTTCCCTCAGGCCCAAAAAAGGATTTTCATTTTCTTTCTTATTTTGTAATTTTTTTTTGTTCGGATTTTTACTTGTGACATGAAATGGAAGACTAAAATTGACTGATTTTACAGAATTAGCTGACTCAGTTTCACCCATTTGCAATCTGCTTATAAAAAATTATAAATAATTGACTCTATTAAATAGTCAAATAATAATATTTTGATGATTTAAAAAAAAAAAAGAAAAAGCGAAAGTTAAAAGTAAGACACCCAAGGAAAAAAAAAAAAAAAAGTTGTGGAATATCTATGATAAGTTATCTTACTGTCTTAATGAGATCTTATATGTAGTAATAATGTAGATATGACAGATTCATCTTCACCCTTTTTGTTTGAAAATGATATGATATTATGTAATAATTTTTACATGTTAAATTCTTTTTCATTTTTTAAAATAATGCATAAAAATCATTCAAAAAAAAAAAAACCACAATAAAACTAGAGCATTTAAAATCAACAAAAATAGAATTATTAAAATAACTGATCAAAATTTAATATATTAATAAAAAATGATGGAAACTAAAAATTTTATTCACCATTACTAGTTAAAAAAAAAAAATAGCAGCCCAAGTTAAAGTATCAATAGAACAATACCCCCTATTTAATAATTTCATGACAAATGCATAAATTCATCATTGTATTTTTTACGTAAAAGATTTTATGACACCTTCAACTTTTATTTTAATCTATTAAAACAATTTATAAAGTTGTACCAATTACATATTTCAAGTTATAAAAGTTATTATATTGAATATTTAAACTTTTAAAATTATATCAATTAAAAATTTATTAGATTGTTGAAAAATGTGAAAATTATTATTTTAAAAATTATACTAACCATACATTAAGTGAATCTATTACACATAAATATTAAAAACACAAAAAAATATTATTATTAATTTAGAGAAGAATACAATATCAGTAAAATTAATAACTTTAAAAGCATAATAGATCACTCATAAAATTAATAATACTATAAAATTTTTTCTGTAAAATATGAAAATATATTTATGCATTTTAGCCTATATTTATTATTAACTAGGCACAGCTTAAAATTGCCAAATTGGACATTCACGACAGTTTACAAATGTTTAATCGAGTAATAGATTGATCAAAGCGAAAAAAAGGTGTAGTGAATTTTGGTTTGGTTGTCGAGGGTGAGAGATTGACCAGAGCAAGGAAAACAATGGGCCTGAAAAAAAGCAAGGGTAAAAGAGTAAAAGCAGAAAGATATCACAGTCTCCAACGGCAGTACACCGTTACGTGCAAAAGAATTCAAAAGGCAACTTGCGACAATATCGATGATACCCCTACCCACTACTTTCTATACTTAACTTTCTTGCTGTTTTGCTAACCCCTACCCTTCAATAAAACCCCTTGTCTCTGCCCTCTTTCTCACATCTCACTCTCTTTATCAAAACCCTTTCTGTTGAAATCTCTCCTCTATCTACTGTTCAATCATGTCTGCTTACACGGGCAAATACGCCGGTAAACTCTCGATTTTTCCTTGCTCTTTCTGTTTGTTTCCCTAGATTCTTGTAGTTGTTATGTCCTCTGATTTTCCTGTTAGATCTTATCTTCGTAGTGCTGTCTAATTTTAATTTAATTGCTTTTGTTAGATTGTTTTTGTTCTTAGATTATTTGTTTAGATCTCTTGTTCAACCAATTACGGACATTTTTTGTTATCAGAAAATGTTTTGTGGGTTAACATCGGAATCAGATTCTACTTATGAGGATTTATAGTTGATTCTGATCATATTGGATGAGTATAACAAGAATATTGTGTCATTAAGCAGATCTATTTGCATTTAATCTGTTTAATCGGATCTCTTTCGATATCAGTAGTTTGTAAAACTAAAATTTTAAGTCACAGTTTTGATTAAGCTAAGATTACTAAATTTTTAATGGAGAAGATCTGAGATTTGATGGATCTGAGCCTGGAGTTAATGGCTGTAGCTAACTAGTTGCTACTGTTTCATAACATGCATCATATGATGTATGCTATGATTGTATTTTTTATTTCTTGATCTTCATAAAGATCTATATTAATATCAAGTTAAATTCTATTATGTATTTGTGTTTTAGATAAGGTTGATTGTGCAAGAGTAGAATGGATTATGTTTTGTTAAACGATTTTATCTGCGGGGGAATTATTTCTTTCATTAGTTTTCAATTACTTTTATTTGTTGTCTAAGTTGATTTTTGATTGGTATTTGTTTTTTTGACGTGGATCCATGATATTTTGATGGTTTTGTGCTTTCGTGAATTTGCTATTTTGAGGTTATCTAAAATCGTGTCCAATTAAAATTTCGCTCTCTTTGCAGATGAGCTCATCCGCAATGCTGCCTACATTGGCACCCCTGGGAAGGGTATTCTTGCAGCTGATGAATCTACTGGAACTATTGGCAAGCGCCTTGCCAGCATAAATGTTGAGAATGTTGAGGAGAACAGGCGTGATCTTCGTGAGCTCCTCTTCACAACTCCTGGAGCCCTCCAATACCTCAGTGGAGTGATTCTCTTTGAGGAAACCCTCTACCAGAAGAGTAAATCAGGTAATTTTCTTAATGGGATTTTCTGTTTTATATTTTCTTAATGGGATTTTCCTGTTTATAATAATAATATATATATATATACTATATTATATATATTATATATTATATATTCTTTTTAATCCACATATTTGTATATATATATTCTTTTTAATCCAAATATTTTGCAAGAATGATGTGTTCATTATCTGCTTGATCTCATTATCTGATGACTTTCTTTTTGCTTGAATTGCTTTCTGATTTGAATGTTGCTGTGCAGGTAAACCTTTTGTTGATATTTTGAAGGAGGGTGGTGTCCTCCCTGGTATTAAGGTCGACAAGGGTACTGTTGAGCTTGCCGGCACCAATGGTGAGACTACCACCCAGGGTCTTGATGGCCTTGCCCAACGATGCCAGAAGTACTACGAAGCTGGTGCCCGATTTGCCAAATGGCGTGCTGTGCTTAAGATTGGCCCTAATGAACCATCTCAGCTTTCCATTAATGAGAATGCGAATGGGTTGGCTAGGTATGCCATCATCTGCCAGGAGAATGGCTTGGTACCAATTGTGGAGCCTGAGATTTTGGTTGATGGACCTCATGACATTAAGAAGTGCGCTGATGTAACTGAGCGGGTTCTTGCTGCTTGCTACAAGGCTCTCAATGACCACCATGTTTTGCTTGAGGGAACTCTTTTGAAACCCAACATGGTGACTCCAGGATCAGAATCCGCCAAGGTTGCACCAGAGGTGATTGCTGAGTACACGGTCCGTGCCCTCCAATGCACTGTGCCTGCCGCTGTTCCTGCTGTTGTGTTCTTGTCTGGTGGGCAGAGTGAGGAGGAAGCTACCGTCAACCTGAATGCGATGAACAAGCTCAAGACCAAGAAGCCATGGTCCCTTTCCTTCTCATTTGGACGTGCACTTCAACAAAGTACCCTCAAGGCTTGGGCAGGTAAGCCAGAGAATGTGCAGAAGGCTCAAGCTGCATTCCTGGTCAGGGCTAAGGCCAACTCAGAGGCAACTCTTGGAACTTACCAGGGTAATGCTACTCTTGGTGAGGGTGCCTCAGAGAGTCTCCATGTCAAGGACTACAAATACTAAAGAGGTCTTAAGTTTCCGTTTTAAATTTCAGAGGAGTATAATAGATTGTCTTTTGTCTCAGGCATAGTTTTAGGACCTGTCTTTTTGTTATATTTGCTTTATGAGGTTTTTAGCATATCCATGGAAGGTAATCAAAATAAGAAAAACATGAGGAATATCTGCTTGTTGTTGAGTTTGGACGGTTTTGTTCAGTTGACTTGGAAGTGTTTTATCTTTTATATTTCTACAATTTAATGAATTCAAATGCTCCTTCATCTGGTGTAAATAGAGTTTTATGTTTGGTTCTTTCCTTCATTTTGTGTGGGTTTTATATAAATATTCTCAAGTATGTTGCAAGATGCTGAGGGGATGAAGGCCTAAAATGTTGGTCCATAAAAATTCCAAGTTGGAGGCTATGATAAGGATTTTGGATATACCTTTCGAATTGGCGAAACTTCCACAATAATGGCTATGAGCGATAAGGAACGTAGAAAATCTCCACTTTTGTAAGTCATTAGTGTATTACTATTTTTATCAATTTTATATTTATTTTTATTTTTTTAAGATTTTCAAGGTAAAAAAATAAAAAAAATTATTTTTCCAATCCTCTTGAGGGTCTTAATTAGTGAGTGGTTATTTCATGATTCGTTTAGTATAATTTATTGCAGATTTAAGCTTCTTTTTTTCCCTTGAAATCATGCCCTTTTATTCAGGAAAAAAAAAAGTTCATAATAGCTAACAGGTAATGAAATCTAGATGCTTTTGCTGTTTAAAATTTAAAATTAAGAAGGATTGGAAATTGGTATTTGTTATCCTCAGGTCATTGAATTGTTAAAATAACACAGGGACTATTTTTCTATGCCGTATTTTTTTTTTTCTTTTGGTGGGAGGAACAACTTGTACAATGCTAATTACAATGATATATTTTAAGATTAATGCTATACAATTTTCTCCCTAAATCTATGCGGTAATTTTTTTTATTTTTTTCTTCTGGTGGGAGAACAACTTGTATAATGCTACTTACCTCATTGTAATTTATCCATCTTAAATAAAAAAAATATCGAGACAAGTACAAGTGTATCTCGAAACTTCTACTGTAAATAAATTTGTTTGTGCCTTATATAGGGGGTTTGTGCCTTATAGGGGATGAAAGGAAACGACATGGTAACTATGGTAACGCAGATTATGCATAAAAGTTATCTGAAAGTTATCATAAATAATTTCGATTTTTCAAAATCCACTCATTGTTTAATAGTTTGCAACTTTTATTTGTTACAGTGAGGAGATTGAGAGTTGAATCCTTAGAGAGTAAGATGTGTTTGATGATTATCACCTATGCTTAATTTTTATGCTTAATTTTCATGGCATTTAATAAATTTGAACTTGATCAATATGGTGATGGCGATAAAATTACGGAATATATTTAGTTCTCTATAATCAATTTAGGAATGATTAAATTGATATGTATGTTTTATTTTATGAGAGGAAATGACAGTACTTCTCAACCTAATTCAAATCAGAGTAAACTTTAATGAAAATTTTTTTTATGTTTTTAATCTTTATTGAATTTATCCAATATTTTAGACTATTTATTCAAAGTGAATTCAATAATAATTGATATTTATAAAAATTATTTTAAAACATACTAAAATATTTCTAGAAAATAAAAAAAAATTCAAGATTAATTATAAACTTGATTTATGTATGTATATGTTAATATATTGATCCTTTTGCAAGAATCTATGAAAAAAATATTATTTTTTATTTTATTTCGTTTAATATATTGATCCTTTTGCAAGAATCTATGAAAAATATTATTTTTTTTATTTAACATTTTATTTCTTTGGAAATTAGTAAGGTATAATATATTTTGAAAATTAGTAAGTATAATATATTTGATATTTAAATTATTGAAAGTAATTATTTGTTATAATAAAATAGTATTTTTATTTTTAAACATCATATAACATCTGCACATGAAGCGCAAGAAGACGACTAGTGTGTATATATATATATATATATCAAGCATTTTCTTTCCCAAGTTAATATGTGGCATAATGGCATATAAAATTCTTAAATTTTGGTGATGCCACATAGGATTATAATATCACATAGGATTATAGTATTATATAAACATTGATATTAATAATCATTTAGTTATCATAATTAATATATATTAGTAAATAATTATAATTCTTATAATATTGTTACCTATCTTTTCAATTAAAATTACCTAATATTAATATTAATTGTCAATCAATTATCATATTAATATGCATTAAATAATTAAATAATTAAAATATTATAACCTATTTTTTAATTAAAAAAGTATCATAATTTTGATTTTGATTATCATATTAATTTGTAATTGTGCATTATAACTTATTTTTTAAATTAATGTTATTATAATATTGATATTAAATATCATAATTATCATTTATTATTATGAATGAAAATTTTATATTTAAAAAAATTGATTGAAAAGGTTAATGGTGAAAATATTTATTAATAGTTTTATTAAAGGATAATTATAATTTTAGCATCTGAATTATTTTTTTTTCTATTTTAGTGTTCTGAATAAAAAAATTATCAATCGAGTGCTTGATTTTTCAAAAAATTGCAATTAGATGTTACTTGTGGACTAGGATGCCGGAATTCTGACTGTGATAAAGTGGAACCATTTGGCATGCCTAGCAACTGATATGGACAAAGATAATATCACATCAGCATATGACATTTGCCTTTCATTTATTTTGCTTTGATCTGTCATATTTTTTTTTGTCCTCTTTAGTTGCTGCAATGTTGATTTTATTTTTGCATTGGTTCCATTTTGAAGCTTTTCGATTCACATACTTATTAATTTTTATCTTTACTATTTTTTTTTTCTCTTTTCAAATTAAGCTAATTAAAATTCAAAACCCTGAAATTCTAATCTTTTCTCCCTCTAAATAAACCCACTTAGATCCAGAAGCACTTTCCAGCCTTCTGTTTTTAAGTTTGCAAGCTCCTTTTCATTTTAGAGTTGAAAGTGCAGGTGCTTTTATTATGAAACTTTTACTAGCAAAACCAAAACAACATTTTTCCTAAACTTTGTTGTTTTTGTTGATAGATCCAAAAACCATTTGTTGTTGAATGTTAGTTTTGTGATCCATTTCATTGAAGGAAAGAAATTTAAGCATTTTTTGTGATGGGATCTCCTTATTCTGTGGTATGTATTGATAATATTTTAGGTTTTTAATTTAATATTTGATGATTTAGTTTTGAGCTGGTTAAGATTTGACTTATGTATTCATAAGTTGGTTAAGATTTGATTTATGACTATGATTATTAGTCGAGAGAATATGAGACTGCAACTTATTTAACTAGGATTTGCGGACTCCACTACGCAAAATAGGAAATTCATTAGCTTGTCTACATGGATTCCACGTGTAAAGCTGATTCGGAGGTGCTTTATGCCACGTTATTTGCCACATGTGACAAAATGAATTTTTTAAGCACATTCATGTTTCCGGCCAGTCTAAACTAGACTGAGACATTAAAATGCAAATGTTAAAAAGTTTAAATACTTAATTTGATAAAATTTTCCATTCAAACACCAAAATAGAAAGAAAAAAATGAAAAGTTCATACACTAAAGTTATACTTATCCCTTTTATTAACAATGAATATCCATACATTTCAATATTTATTTATCTTAAAATTGCAAATTAAGAAAGCTCTTTGAGGTTTAGTAAGATCAATTTTTTTTATATAATTTCAATAATTTTATACAATTTCTTTTCGACATTGATATATTTTTCTCTTCTAATTTCTATTACTCTATCAAATTAGGAAAATTTTGATAAATCATACAAGAAAGTCGTTTATATGAAATTATTATTAAGAATGATATATATACGTCTATGATTGAATTTTTATATGAATTATTATTTAAGATGAATATATATACGTCTATGATTGAATTTTTTATTATCTATTTATTTTATTTATTTTTTAATATATCTTAGAAATTTATTAAATTAAATCTCACCATAGTTTTTGAGTTATATTTCATTTTCCTTTTATTATAGATATTTATTTTTTATATATTAGTCTAATTTGAAATTGAAAATAGATTGTTCTTTAATTTAAAACATTTTTCAACAAAAAATTAGCAAGTTCTTTAATTTAAACAATTTTCAACAAAAAAATTAGCAAAATATGAAGTTCTAAATAATTTAAATTATAAATTTTTCTTAATTAAATTATATATTTTAAAAATATTATTAGACAATATCTCTAATATTATAAATAAAAATATTTACTGTGCATAGCACCAATATGTTGTTAGTTATTATCATGACCCGTTTCCAAGGGCCGAACCGACATTAGGATTTGGATGGGCTTAAGGCCTCCTAGGCCTATAGTAAGCCTAATTAATATATGCACGCACCCATATTATTTATTTACAACTCATTTGGAATATAATTGCGGAACTCCATAATTTACAGTCCTTTTCATTTACATGCTTAATATAACTTTTAATAATTTTTAAAGGTTCTCAACTCGGAAATTCCGATAATATGTTTTGGGCTTGAGCCCAACCCTGTAAATTTGGGCGCGGATTAGGATTATACAGTATTTGCAGCCCATACAGTCAAAAATCCAGATTTTTTATTTAATAAAAAAAAATTCAAAAGTTTTGAAAATAAAATCACGGGGTGTTTCAATCTCCCCTCTTAAAACAATTCATTATCGAATTAAATTTTAGTAAAAAAGAGTAAGAATGGACACATAAGTGATTTCAAGATCGTAAGAGATACTTCAAATACCAAAGAGATAGCTCAAGAGTGAATAACAAATACTGAGGAAAAGGGAGGGGTGCGGTATTCGGATGGTACTTCTATCACCAACCATCATGTTTCTTTTCTGCGGAAGCTTCCTCTAATGATCTAGAGAGGACAATTACATTTCAAATAACCGTTCCAAAACAATTTTCCCTTTAACTTATATCCCAAAACATTTAACGCATACATATAATGAAACGTTAATCTTATAATGAAACAGGGATGCATTTGAGGCATATATTTCTAATTTCCTAAACCAAGAAAAGGGTTTAGATTAAGTGGAATGAGACCTGACATAATTCTGAAAGTATTTTTCTCTTATCGTATATTAAGAGTGCTTAATGTTTAAGCATTTTTTTTTAACTTAAACCTTTATAACTTGATTGTTTTGCATCTGTCTATGCCAAGAGTTTAGAAGCAGACAATTAAGATTTCTAATGGTAGGGTTATATATATATATA